AGGTTCTTTAGTTCTTTTTCACTTTCTGCCATAAGGGTGGTGTCATCTGCATATCTGAGGTTATTGATATTTCTCCTGGCAATCTTGATTCTAGCTTGTGCTTCATCCAGTACAGCATGTCACATGATGTATTCTGCATATAAGTTAAATAAGCAGGGTGACAATATACAGCCTTGACATATTCCTTTCCCAATTTGGAACCAGTCTGTTGTTCCATGTCCAACAGTTCTAACTGTTGCTTCTTGACCTGCATACAGATTTCTCAGGAAGCAGATAAGGTGGTCTGGTATTCCCACATCTTTAAGAATTTTCCAAAGTTTGTTGTGATCCACACAGTCAAGGGCTTTGGTGTAGTCAATAAAGCAGAAGTAGATATTTTCTGGAACTTTCTTGCTTTTTCTATGATCCAGGGGATGTTGGCAATTTGATCTCTGGTTCCTCTGCCTTTTCTAATTCCAGCTTGAACATCTGGAAGTTCATGGTTCATGTACTGTTGAAGCCTGTCATAATGTCCATATGAAGTGGACAGTTGTTATATCCACTTTTTAAAGAAGCTTCACATCTGTATTTTTGCTTTGCTCCTGCTCAGTCACTTCAGTCATGTCCAACTCTGTGACTCTATGGACTCTAGTCCTGCCAGGCTCCTTTGTCCATGGGATTTCTCCGGCAAGAATACTTGAGTGGGTTGCCATTCCCTTCTCCAGGGGATCTTCCCGACCCCGAGGATTGAACCTGCATCTCCTGTGTCTCCTGCATTGCAGGTGGATTTTTTACTGCTGAAGCCTTTCCAGATAGCATTGCGGTAAAGAATCTGCCTGACAATGCCTGACAATGCAAGAGATGCGGGTTCAATCCCTGGATCCAGAATATCCCCTGCAGAAGGAAATGGGAACCAGCTCCAATATTCTTGCCTATGAAATCCCACGGATAGAGGAACCTGGAGGGCTACAGTTCATGAAGTCCCAAAAGAGTCAAACACGACTTAGCGATTAAACAACAACAACAAATTTTTGCTTTAGGAAAGAGCTATTTATTGGGTCAGAGTTCTTGGGGATGCACAACAGAAAGAAGTCCTAGGAGATCATAAAGACTATGGAGAAGTGGTCCAAATGTCTGGTATGGCAGCAGCAGGGGGCAGTACTATAGAATAGGAAACTACAAATTGTCGCCTGTTTTGTGAATAAAGTTTTATTGCCACACAGCTAAACCTATTCATTTACATATTATCTATTGCTGAGCTTGTCTGAACCAGCTGAGTCTTTGCAAAAGGGATGATGTGGTCTTCAAAGTTCCAAATACTTACTGTCTGGCCATTTACAGAAAAAGTTTGCTGTCCCCTGTGTAACATCAGTACTTCAGTCTGGATATCTCCATCTAGATGTCCCACAGGCAAATCTAACTCATCAGGTATAAAAACGCATGCATAAACTTGTTCCAGCTTCAGTGTTCCCACTCTTAGTTAATGACACTACTGCCTACCAATACACCCATGAAAGAAGCCTCTCTCCCTTTTGCCCTCTCTCCCTTTTGCCCTCTCACCCTATATATTACTTCACATCTCATCCATCACCACATCCTGCCAATTCCACCTCTTCACTATATTTTGAACCTGAGCACATCTCTTCATTTCTACTGCTATTAACTTACTCTGAGTCATGATCATTTCATACAAGATTAACAACAGCTTTCTAACTTGTCTTCCTGCCCTTAGTTTGTTTTTTCTTTTGGAGGTATAAATAAGATTTATTGATTAATTGATACTGCAGAAATATCAAATGGTATAGTAATCTCTAAGAACAGTATTTGGAGGCAATATTGACAGTGAGGAAATTGTAAGCAGAGGAGGGTGACATAATCTGATTTTGACTCATTACATTTCATTTGTTGATAAGTCATTTGTAGTAAAAAATATCATTCATCTCCAAGCTCCTTGAGAATGGAGAACACATCTAATTCATCTTTGCATCACCACAGGTAGTTATCAAAAGGCATGACATATACCAGGCATTATAATTATTAAATAAATACAATAAAACAAATTATACAGATGAATATTTTTGACCTTAAGTGAAAATCTCCTTCAATTTTATTTTGCCAGAGCAAAACTATTCCAACAATTTAATAAACAGGCTTTCCCATTGCTTTTTTCCCTAGGGTTATGTTTATATCCTTCTTTATTTCTGCATATTGACATATAACAATTTTCACCTTATTTTTACTGACTGGTTGGTATTCATTTGAATGTATTTCTCTATTGTTGAATATTTAGTTTTATTTTTCCAATTTTCCTATCCCTAATTTTGCCCACCCTCTGCCCCCAAGCCATTTTCTACTCAATAACCAGAAGGATCTTTCTAATATCTAAACCTGACTCCAGCACATCCATAATGACATACGCAGCCAAGATTTAGTGAGCCCTTACTATGTGCTGGGCTTCCCTGGTGGCTCAGAGGTTAAAGCGTCTGCCCGAAATGCGGGAGACCCGGGTTCGATCCCTGGGTTTGGAAGATACCCTGGAGATGGCAACCCACTCCAGTATTCTTGCCTGGAGAATCCCATGGATGGAGGAGCCTGATAGGCTACAGTCCACAGGGTCTCAAAGAGTTGGACATGACTGAGTGACTTCACTCACTCACTCACTTTACTATGTGCTAGACATAGTTCTAAGTGTTTCCTGTGTGGTAACTGATCTTAGTCCTCACATGAATCCTCTATTGCTGATGTTGTTATTAACTCCATTCTTTAGGTGAAGACTTTTAGGAACAGAGAGAATCAATGCAATCTAGCTCAAGTGTCTATAGTTTAAACTACTCTACTGCTCTACACACACACACACACACACACACACACACACACCCCTATCATTCATGGCTTCCCATTGCTCTTAAAATAAGTCATACTCTTTATAATGGCTGAAGACTATCATTTTGATCTTCTGTAACCCTTGTCTACCTCTCCAGCCTCATCTCTTGCCATCCAGAGCCTTGCAGTTAAGCAGCAGCCTCCCCAGACTGCTATAGCTCCCTGTACCAGTCATGCTCATTTTCACCTCTATGCCTTCGGTCATGTTATCCCCTCCACTTCAGTCGTTTACTCCCTTCCTCTCTCCTCCCTTACAAGCAGCCAGCTTCTACACATCCTTTAATGCTCCATTCCGGTATTGCCTCCTCCAGGAAGCCTTTGCTGAGCAGATTTGCACTACCTCTGTGTTCCCATTATGCCTTGTTTTCCATCCATTTACATGGCCTTAATGTACTGTTTCATAATTTCATAACTATCTTTTTATATATCTGTCTCCCTCACCAGACCATGTGCTCCCAGTGGTTTTCCCATTCCACTCAAATATTTTGCTTTACCCTTCTACTTTTTTGTACCCTTTTCTAGGACCTTTTCATCCCAGGCTTTGGCATAGGCTATAATGCCAAGAAGAGTAGAAAGGGACTGTATAGGATTTTGTCATTTTGTGTGTGATTGTGTGAAAAGGAGATGTGAGGATATAAGGGGGATCATGAACATCTTTTGAGAAAATGAGACCTCATGATAAAAAGACTTTAGAGTTTATTTTTTGTCATTTTGCAATAGTAAACTGCTTTAGGGTGGGCTAGACCCAAAAATGGAGAATGGCTCAAAGAGAATTATCTCAGTTATGTAACTGTCCAAGACAGATACTCTTGGTCAGCAAGATAGTTCTCCTCCACATGGTCATTGAAGGACAAAGGCTAACAGAAGCCCCTGGACCACCCCGAGTTACCAGATCCCAGTCAGCAAGAAGGGGGAGAGAACATAGGGGACTTCCATAGGTCAGGCCTGGTGATGCCACTCATCATTTCTCCTCACATTCCATTACTGAGAACTTGGTCATGTGGCCATGCCTCACTGCAAGGGAGCCTGGGAAATGTAGTCCACCCTGTGCTTAAGGAAGGGAAGAATGGTTTTGGTGGGAAGCTGGTGACCTTCACAGATATACTAACAATAAAATTGGGCTAGTTTACCTTGAGTGTCAGGTAAATTATGGAAGAATTTTATTTCCTTTGTACCAGAAAACTATGTGGTACAGCTCCATTTAACCTTTCCCATGGGAAGCTGCAGCAATTAGATGAAGGCAATATTTAAAATGATTGCTGACAGTTGAGCTCCCTGTTGAATTGCTTACTAGGAAGTAGCAGCCAGAGGGTGACTTGCAATGCTGATAATCTCTTAACTATTAATCACTGACACGTTGTAGATTGCCTCTAAGTAAAATCCCAGCTGAGTTAGGTACCATCTTATAATATTGGCCCCCAAATATATTTTACTCCTTTGCATGTCTGGATTAGAGAAGGTATTAAATGGCAAAGCAGCAACCTGATTCTTTGCTAGCTAAGAGGTGCTCAGAACCAAAAGGAGGGAAAACAAATCTTCAAAAAGGGAACTCATTTCCATTCCAAACCATAGCCACAGGCATGAGCTTATTCACTGCCAGTTTGTGTTTGCCCAAAGTACACACTTGTTGATGATCTCATGCAAGCTGGGGGAATAAGTAAAAGTGAATCCACTTGAAATGAAACATCCCCATGATTCTCTGCTAACAGGCAGATACATTCCCCGGAGAGCTTTGTAGAACAGTTGCCCAGGTTCTACTCCCCAGAGGAGGCTCATTTAGTCAGTCTAGGGTGTGACTTGGGAATCAGGAATTTTTTCATGTTCACTGGATGATTCTGATACTGAGCCAAGTTTGAGGCAGCATCTCTCTAATACGATGAAAGTGGGGAGTAGGGGGCACATGCGCCAAAGCACAGACCAGAGCAATTTTGTTTAACGTAGGAAATAAATCATCAACCCTAAGTTTCCTAGCTTGACATATAGAGTTGGCTCTGAGGTTAGACCCACCTGTGGGACTCTGGAAATCAGGCCTCCTCTGGGAGTGGGCCATGAGCTGGCTGTAAACTAGGAGAGCGATTATGAAGGTAGACTTCCTCCCAGCCATCCCAGATGCCTGACTTGTTCTCTTCTTTTCCCAGTTTGTGGCCCAGCCCAATTGCCAACAGTTGCTTGCCACTCTGTGGTACGACGGCTTCCCTGGATGGCGGCGGAAACACTGGGTCGTCAAGCTTCTGACGTGCATGACCATTGGGTTCCTGTTTCCCATGCTGTCTATTGCTTATCTCATCTCACCCAGGAGCAACCTTGGGCTGTTCATCAAGAAACCCTTCATCAAGTTTATCTGCCACACAGCGTCATATCTGACCTTCCTCTTCATGCTTCTCCTGGCTTCTCAGCACATCGTCAGGACAGACCTCCACGTACAAGGACCTCCCCCGACTGTCGTGGAGTGGATGATACTGCCTTGGGTTCTCGGTGAGTCACAGGGACCAGAAGCTATGGCCAGACTGCCTGCTGGTCTTGTCTAAAGAAACTACTGGAATTGGCAGTTGGACTGGCCCTGAACTAAGGCACCTTCCCTCTGTGCAGTGGGGTAGTTGTTGGGAATCTCAGAAACGTGGTTCCTTTCCCCCTGGGTCTGGGTCACTTGCTGTCACAGGGCTTGCCATGAGATTGGCAGTGTACCCAGGGCTTGTTTCAACTAACCTAACTTCGTCAGTGACAAGTAAGTTGTCTATCAGTGGGTTTAGAGGGAAAGCCAAGTGTTAGTCAGGGCAGGATCAGGTAAGCTGGGCAAGGCAAGTGCTGAACAGTCTATTCGATGCCTTCTTTCCCATCACTAGGGCTGAGAGGATGCCACCCAAATCTGCTGCTTTCCTATGACTATGCTAAATGATCCCTGTACTTATCCAGGGTCCACATCCTATTTGGATACTGATTTCACAACCAGGAGGGAAACCTAGGAAATTCACACAATTCATGGTAAAAAAGCAGCCTTAGCCAGAAGTCTCCAGGCATAATTACATTGCATTGGACCCTCCAGTGCATTGCCACCCTCCAGGTCCTTGATACTTAAACTGAGGTCCCCAAACCAGCAATGTCAGCATTAACTTGTTAGACATACAGAATTGGGAGTCTCACTCTGGGTCTGTGAAATCAGAATCTACATAATCCCCATGTAATTCGCATGTATTTTAAAGCAGGGGTCCCCAACCTATAGGATCTAATGCCTGATGATCTGAGATGGAACTGATGTAATAAATAATAGAAATCAAGTACACAATAAATGTAATGTACTTGAATCACCCCCAAACCATCTCTTACCCACCCCACCACCATCCTGGTCTGTGGAAAAAGTGTCTTCCACAAAACTGGTCCCTGTTGCCAACAAGTTTGGGGACTGCTGTTTCAAAGTCTGAGATGTACTACCTTAGACCACAGCCACTCCTTTTACTGCTTTCCACATACCAAGGCTAAAGAAACGTCTATTAATATGTCATCAGGCAGAATTCCATGAAACCCACACACAATGAGAGGAGAGAAGAGAAAGGAGGATTCTAAATTATTCTGGTCCCCATTGCCTAGCTTCAGCCTCAACATCCAGTGCTTTGGACCATGGCCTGCTTGCACACCTCAAAAGTCATTGAGAAGTTTTCCCTCTCAGACATATGTAGTGGGAACTAAGGACTATATGGGATAATATTGATACTTAATTAATTCATTGATTAAATTACTCCCACTCTAAAATGGGAAGAGCGTAGAATCAGACACCCTAAATTGCAGCAGCATTCCAGTAACTATAGGAACAATATAAAAGTGAGTAGCATCCAGAAAACTATAACATACAGGCATCTTTAGGTAGTGTATCCAGTTTGGTAAGTTCAAGACAGAGTGGTGAGATAGCAAAGAAAGAAGAGAGTACTACCATCCCTAGGGGCTCCACTGACTCCCAATTCATTCATTGATTTCCTCTTTCTTCATTTGGTGAATCCTACTATGATGACTAGTTTGATGCTGTGAAGCAATAAACCTTTTGCCTCCATTCTTCAGGTTTCATTTGGGGGGAGATAAAGGAAATGTGGGATGGTGGATTTACTGAATATATCCATGACTGGTGGAACCTGATGGATTTTGCAATGAACTCACTCTACCTGGCAACTATTTCCTTGAAGATTGTAGCCTATGTCAAGGTAACTTGGAATATTTGCTATTTTTCTTAATCATTTTGTTTACAGTAAGCTTTAGCTATGGGAGCACAAAGAGTTTAGGGGACAAGTGCTAACAACCGTTCAATTCAATCCATGTGGAAAGGTACCATAAAATAGGTATTTTTTCAATGGCTTGTAAGCAGTGTCCACCTAACCAGACAGTGGAGAATGGGGCAATTTGCAAATGAATTCTTAGCTTCTACAACTCTGACAGTAAAAGGTCTGCAGTTGCCCACCCACTCAGTCAGTGTTTACATCCTCTCTCAGTATCCACGCTGAGAGGATAGCCCACTGATGTTTGCATGAGGCAGAGACAAGACATTCACTAAATTTCCAAAAGCCTCTCTTAACTCTTGTTACTTCATTAAAAAGTGCTACTTTATATTTTTCTAATATTATTCTTCCTGTGACACATCCATTAGTAATCCTTCCTCACCATGGGGTCAAACAGAACAAAGATGTTCTTTCTCCAAAAAGTGCTTCAGATATGAAGTTATCTCTCCCTAGCCTACTGAGCTGTCTCTTCTCAAAACCAAATATTCACACTTCCCTCAAGTGTTCTTCATAGGATAGGTAGCAGAACCCTAGAAACTTCACTGTGTGAGACATAGATCTTTAATAGTCTTTGCCTGCTGTATCACTTCCATCACCAGGATGATCATTCAAGCTGCTATGAATCCAGCTTTTTGAGTATCACTCACTCTATGTCTCTACCAATCCAGATAACACATACACACACACACACCCCACCTTGATGTTTTTTCCTGCATAATGTACAGCTTGCATTATCCTGAGAAATAGCTTCATGTCCAGCACCTCACGCTGGATAGTCACAGACTCTGAGTTCAGGTTTGGTACTCATTAGATACTGGAATGGCTGCACTGTCTCTACCCTGAAGTGAACTTCTCCATCATGAGGAAAAGCTGACAACTCCATCTCCAAGACTGTCTAGTGAGTCATGCTTTTTGGCATGAAATCCCACATGAAGGAGTTTTAGAATGAGAATATGGCTGTCCCCCAAATCGCCAACAACTTAGTTTATTTTTACATCTCTAATATGCATATTGCATAAATTTTAAGACCTTGGGAGTTAGTTACATGGAGCGTGAATATTGAATGCAGTCCTGAAACATTTTTGAAAGGAGCTGAAGAGTATGCTTATACTTGTGGTGATTGTTCAACACATACTTACAACTTCCTTACAAGAAAAAGCTGGTAAGGAAAATGTTTGAATCTCTGGTTAATGTGCCTGGATGAAATCCATGTCATTCTGGCACTCAGCTGACTAAGTAACACTGTTTGCCAAAAAAAAAAAAAAATTCTTCCTTTGGAAGTGGTATTTATACACTGGGGGGACAATACATTATCAATCTAGAAACTGGTGAGTTCTGCTTAAACAGGGAAGTGTAGAATAAACGATCAAAAGGATTAACACTTGGGGATGTGAAATTGTGTCAACAGATGCCCAACATTAATCACATACCCTGTCCACCTTCACTGGCAAGCCTTCCAAGGACGAGATTCTTCCTCACCATGGAGTGTAAGGATAAATCAGCTTACTAAGCTGAGTAAATGCCCCTCAACTGACAAATACTTAACTCAAATAAAGACATTTGCCAAGAAGTCGGAGCCCTTTGCAACAAAGAATTTATAAATAAGAGATGCCATATGCAGACCGGATTTACAATGAGAAATTGTCAGTGGGCAGCCGGGTTTACTCGTGCAGGCAGGCACAGCATTCTGAAATGAACTCCACCAAGTAGGCTGAGCCAACTTCCATGAAGTAAAGACACAATGCTGGTCCCAGGCCCTTTTAAAAATTTCAGATCATCATTGCACTGAGGCAGTACGACACACCATGAAAGAAACTGGCCTTGAGAAGATCCTTTATTAGAGTGAAAAACTAGTCAACTATACATGTATATACACTCTACCTCACATGGCCTACAACACCAAGAAGCAAAAGGCACATACCAAAGTACTCAAAAGGAACAAACATACCTAACATTAGCCCTCAGTGCCCCCAAGATAACACTAAAAATGGAGAGTAATTGTCTTTGTGTCTTCTAGGATAGCACCACCTAGATTTATCCCATCACTCCCTTACTCCATATGTACAGACTAAACTGAACTTTGATACCCATTGAGTTGTGACCCTTTCTCCAGCCAATGCTTGGATGAAGACACACCTCCCCATCTTTATTACTATTGGGTTCCCACATTTGGCCAACCCTTTTCATATTCTGCTTTTGAGTTCACACCCTTTTGAAAGGCATAGAGGCCAATTTTCAAGCAGCATTCTATCTCCGAGAATATAAGAAAAAGCATTTGTCTCCCGATATCAGTCACTCAAGAGTCAGGAAACCCAAGGTAATCCATGCTCTGATATTTACAAGCTGGATTACCACAGGCCATCCTTCTACCTCTAGGAGCTTCAGACACCACCTCTGAAAAATAAGATGGAACTAGATCAATCGGTTTCAACCTTTTAATTTTTTCCCATGGAACCACATCTTAAAGTTAAAACTTATGCAGAATTTCAATGCACTAAGGAGCTCAAAGGAATGAGTTTGGATTGAGAAATGACTCTTCCTAGCCTCCTCTCTGGTTTCCACAGTGACCACCAGATGCTTCTCTTGAACCCTCAGGCTTGAAGGAACACAATTTGATTTGAAAACCATTTGGGCTCAGTCAGACTTCAGCAAACTGTGGGCTGCCGGCCAAGCTGGGGCCACTGTTTGTTTATATATTGTCTGTTATTATAGTTCTAGAAGGGACTTCCCTGGTGCTTAGTCGCTCAGTTGTGTCTGACACTTTTGTGACCCCATGGACTGTAGCCCACTAGGTTCCTCTGTCCATGGGATTGCCCAGGCAAGAATCCTGGAGTGGGTTGCCATTTCCTTCTCCAGGGGATCTTCCCACCCAGGGATCAAACCTGGGTCTCCTGCATTGCAGGTGGATTCTTTACCCTCTGAGTCACCGGTCCAGTGGCTAAAATTCCATGCTCCCAACACAGGGGTCCGTGGTTTGATCCCTGAGCCGGGAACTAGATCTCATGAGCTACAACTAAGAACTGGTATAGCAAAATAAAAAAATATATAGTTCTAGAAGAAAAAAGTTGAGTAGTTGCACAGTAACCATGTAGCCCACAAAGCCAAAAATATATACTATCTGGCCCTTGACACAAAAAGTTTGCTGACCTCTATGCTAAATGAGATCCAAGTTTACTCTCTGCTATCACATTCTATAGTATTTTTCTCTAAAAATACATACACAAAGCATAGATTTGCCATGAGAATCATCTTTCACACTTGTGACTGTTCTGCAATGCAAACTCATGGACAGTAGACTTCCCTGTGGTTATGGGTGTGACTGTGGAGTGAAAAAACCCTAAATGATGAGCTATGCATGTTCCAGTTGATAATCCCTAGTTTTAAAATGTAGGTCTGTTTTGTTATCAACAAAGAATCTGCATCATTCACATAGACCTCCAAATCTATAAAGGCCTATCTAATAAATTCACTGTGATATCGACTATTATAGAAGTAACATTTCATAGACATATTGCTATACTGAGTGTTTAGAGGCCTGAGTTTTTAGTCCTGGCTCCGCTACCAACTTGCTGTGTGACCTTAAGCAGCTCCCTCTGCCTCTCTGGATTTCAGTTCCTCCACTTGTAAAACAGGCATAACAATGTCCACCTCTCACAACTCATGCATCAAATGTTTCCTTTGGAAACAAAAATGGAGAGATACAAGATTTGGCCAAAAGTGTATAAAACCAATTGGCCATCTCAAGTCTATTTGAAATAGAAGCACACATGTGGCAAGTTTTCTCCAAATTCCTCTGACAGTGAGGAATATTGGATACACACAAATGATTTTAACAATACCAGTTTCCTCAGTTGTTGGAAGTGAGGCACATTTTAGAAATGCTAACAATATAATTTGGCCCCCAATGCAACATTTTCTCAGGAAAGTTGTTTACATTTAGTCCTGAGAAATTGTGATATTTAGATGAGCGTTCAAGGCAATATGCTTCAGATTGTATTCCAGGCAAAATCTACTTCTGTCTTGGGGAAGGTAAAAAGCAATTTCTTGTATTTCCATAACATCTCTCCTTATGGAGTACACAGACTTTCACATATGGGTACATAATCAGACATGTGCAGTGGGTAGGAGTAGATATTATCCTCATTTTCTGGTGAAATGAGAGAAAGAGGGGCAGTTTTAAGTGACAAAGGCTAAATTGGAGCTCAGGTCTCACAATGAAGCCATCTCTCCATGAGGTGACTTCCAATGTTCTAGGAGCTGAAAGCTCAGGGAAGACTGGAACATGGGCAGCCAACCCCAGAAATCCTGGCTCCTCCTCCTCGTTCAACCCCCTGGTCCATCATTTGTGCTAAAGGAACATTCCAACTTGTAAGACTATCAAAGCAACAATAAAATACATCCATACACCACTTGGTGAGCAGCACTAAATTCATTGCCTTGGAGGCTGACATGCCATTTGTAATTGCATAGAAGAAAAGACTATCGGCAGAAAACTCTGAGTAATGACCCTCTAAGGATGCTCAGTCAGCCCCAAACTGCAGCCAGCAGGGAAGTCAAGGTGAACACTGCACACTGAGGAGGCTGAACCTACCCCATGTCCTTCAGTAACTGCAAGTTGTGCGTGTTGCTCAGCACAAAACGGCTTGGGCAGCAAAGCTGGTTTGCAATCTCATTAGGAAGCAGAATACTTTGGCCCCACAACCTCGGGCACACCTGTGGCTCTGTTCTAGGGCCACTCCCCAACAATCTGGTCAACTCACACTTTGAAAATGTCTGTTAATAAACCACAGGTTGTTACTCCAGATGATTGCTCTGAAATTCATGTTTCTACATCTATGCACTGAGTATATATTTGGATAGGAGTGGAAGGAAGAGCGTTATTAGCATCATATATTGATTGGGTGGGACAAAAAAAGACCAATACTGCCAATCATGGGGGCCTGTTGTATAAATGAATGCTTGATGCTTACTTTGATGCTTTTATTTGGGTGCAGAATGGAGGAAAGAGGGGAAAGTTTTCTAAATGCTCGCTGTACCTCTCATATTGTACACTTGTTGTTTCTTTCAGTATAATGGTTCCCGTCCAAGGGAAGAATGGGAAATGTGGCACCCGACTCTGATTGCAGAAGCTCTCTTTGCGATATCCAACATTTTAAGTTCGTTGCGTCTCATATCCCTGTTCACAGCCAACTCCCACTTAGGGCCTCTGCAGATCTCTTTGGGGCGCATGTTGCTCGATATCCTCAAATTTCTCTTTATCTACTGCCTGGTACTGCTAGCTTTTGCCAATGGATTGAACCAGCTTTACTTTTATTATGAGACCAGAGCAATCGATGAACCCAACAACTGCAAGGGGATCCGATGCGAGAAACAGAACAATGCCTTCTCCACGTAAGACTCCCCCCTCTCCTCTTCTGCCTTTTGTCTGCTTTCTCTTTCTTTGCCCTATTTCCAGTCCCTATCTTTGCCATTGCCCCTTGACAGTGCATACAGAGCTCACTTATTGATCACTCTAGGAGACTAGGAGAGGAAGTAGAGTTAGGTGAGGGAGGAAAGAGACAAACACACACAGGCTCCCAGGAACTCATCTAAAGAGTTACTTCTGAATTATTTTGGTCACATCTAATATTTTTAAAGGAATTCATGAAAATGAAAGTGTTAGTCACTTAGTCGGGTCTGACTCTTTGCGACCCCATGAACTGTAGCCCGCCAGGCTCCTCTGTCCATGGAATTCTTAGGCAAGAATACTGGAGTGGGCTGCCACGTCCTCTCCAGGAGATCTGGCTGGGTCTCCTGCACTGCAGGCAGATTCTTTGGCATCTCAGTCACCAGGGAAGCCCCAAGGAATTTATGGGAAGGGAATAAATAATCCCTCACTCAGAAAAGCACTGCTAACCAAGGAAATGAAAGAGCAAGGCTATACCTCTCAACAAGTAATTACTGAAGATAATGTAACTGTTCTGAATCAAGAACAAAGAAAAAGGAAGGATGCAAAATTACCTGAATGCATCTTGTGATACTGTGATTTATAATAATAAATATGTATTTGTTCTTTGTCCCCATTTCTGGCACAGAACTTCTAAAACCCTTGGTATTTCCTAAGTGATGAGAACCACAAAGGTGTCTCTGGTTGTGTTAACAAAGTGACTTTTGGACCTCACCTAGGATGGGAGCCAGTTATCACCATGTGATTAGATGGTTGGAACTTCGAATCTCACCCCCTCAAACCTTCCTTTCAGGGAGGGGATAAGGACTGGAAATTGATTTCAATCACCAAAGGCTAAGTACAGGAGTTACGGGTTAAATCCCTGGGTTGGAAAGATCCCCTAGAGGAGAGCGTGGCAACCCACTCCTGTATTCTTGCTTGGAGTGCACAGAATTCTGGCAGGTTACAGTCCATAGGGTCACAAAGATTCGGACATGACTGAAGTGACTTAGCATGCATGCACACACCAATGGCTAATGATATAATCAACGGTGACTGTGTAATGGGGGCTTCCCAGGTGGCACTAGTGGTAAAGAAGCTACCTGTCAATGCAGGAGATGTAAGAGATGTGTGTTCAATCCCTGGGTTGTAAAGATCCCCTGGAGGAGGGCATGGCAACAATATTCTTGCCTGAGGAATCCCATGGACAGACAAGCCTGGTGGGCTATAATCCATGGGGTCGCAAAGAGTCAGACACAACTGAAGTGACTTCGCACGACTGTGTAATGAACTCTCCATAAAAACCCAAAAGGACAGGGTTTGGAGAGCCTTCAGGTTGGTGAGCATGTGGAGATTTGGGGAGAGTGGGTGATCAGAGAATGCAGGGAAGCCTGCCCCCCCATACCTTGCCCTGTGCATATTTGATCTGGCTGTTCCTGAGTTGTATCTTTTTATAATAGACCAGTAATCTAGTCATTTCAATGTTTCTCTGAGTTTTGTCAGGCACTCCAGCAAATTAATCAAATCCAAGGAGAGGATTGTGGGGAGCTCTACCTAGAGCCAGCTGGTCAGAAGAATGGGGGACATCTGGGAAAACCAGAAAGGGGGGCAGTCTTGTGGGACTGGTCTCTTAATCTGTGGAATCTGATGTTATACCCCAGGAGTGTCAGAACTGACTGAGCTGGCTTGTAGGGCATCCAACTGGTGTCGAAGAATTGGTAGTATGAGGGGAAAATATCTCCTCATTCCCACAGATGGGAATTCAGTTAAGAACCCCTTAGGTGGTGTCAGACAAATGGGATTTGCTCAAACAGCCCTGGCTCATGGAAACATGGAGTTTGGGAAGAGAAAATATTAATAACTAAAAGGGCGGGTGGATGGTGAATTTTTGATTCCTAGATGGAGAGGAGACAGGCAAAGAGTAAGATGAGAGTCAACTCAACTTCTGGGGTTACTTTAAGGTTTCAGATGTACCAAGGCACCAAGCAGTGATTGGAAATATCTCCTATTCCCACTCGGGACATAGAAGACCGATAATGACTCTCTGTCCACGAGTCCACTGCCTCCAGTATGGAACCCCTGTGCCTTTTCTTTATAAACTCAACACCTACTTCTCTAGGACCTTTAAGCCTCCAGAATGGCTTTTATTTTCTGAAACATCACTGTTAGGGGAAGCAGACAAGAGAAAGAAAATAAGCACATATCAGGAAACGTGTTAGGTTCTAGGAGCATTTCTGAGCTTACGCCAGACTCATGGTCCTACACCTTGTCTATCTCTAGCCCCTTTTCTGGAGAGTGCCAGGCATCTGGTAATCATAGTCATGACCCCAAGGTCAGGAGGGATTCCTAGTTATTAAGTTAATATACAATTTTCCCCCTTAACTCTATAAACTAGGGCAGATCAATGGACTCAGACATTCTAGAAATGTGTTAAATAACAAAGGCCAAGGGGGGAAAAAGGTTTCTGCTTGGCCCCAAGTTGTACCAATAAAGAAAGGGAAAAAACAGTGCTATGTAGCCAACCCTTCTCATTGATCTCTAGCAACATTTCCTAAAATGGATGACAAATAACCGTTCACATTCATGGGGATATGAATAGACATGAAAGCAGGATTTCTGATTGCATGAGGTTTGGAAATGCTAGGAAAAATTAAGTGAAAACTGAAAGTGTTGGTTACTCAGTTGTGTTGATTCTTTGTGATCCCATGGACTGTAGCCTGCCAGGCTCCTCTGTCCATGGAATTCCCCAGGCGAGAACACTAGAGTGGGTTGCCATTCCCTTCTCCAGGGCATCTTCCAGGGATCAAACCCAGGTCTCCCACATTGCAGGCAGATTCTTTACCTTCTGAGCCACCAGGGAAGTCCCTAGGACAAGTTTAAGAAGGGCTTAAGCCACTGCAGGGCTTCTCAGAGACTTTCCATTGTGAATCTACAGCAAAGGGAGAGGTTTTCCCAAATCTATTTACCAACATGCTGTTCCAGTGAACAAAGTTTGGAAAATTTTGGCTTGTCCTATCACCCATTTTCCAGCACCCACCCCCTCCACTAGGCCACACTCCCTGCTTCTCCTCCCAGAACTCAGGGCAAAATCTTGGATGGGGAAACCAGACTTATGTGAAAGGGAAAAAGAAGCCAAAATGGGATGACAGATAGCGCCATTTTGGTGAAGCCAACCAAGAGTGAACAAAGGCAACTGTTCACCTCTCTAGTGCCTCTTGACTAGGAACTACTTCTTTTCCTGCATTACTCTGGAGATATAACTCACATCACCCTGTTTTCAATACAAAGAATCATTTTATAGTAGCTTGAGCACCAGGAGATGGTATCTGTTCCCATCAAAGCTTTCGACAGAGATGCACACGTGAATGCAAGGTGCATTCCAGGAGGCTAGGTCCCTGCCAATTACCCTCTCATGGGAACTCTGCTGAGGAAGTTTATGAAATGTCTCCTTATAAGTCAGCAGTGATTATTAACACCCCTGTTGCCAACTGACATTTTGCTCCCATAACTTGCCCAGCAGGGATGATTGACAAGAATGGACACCTGTCATACACAAAATTATATCTTGGGGTGTCAGGTATGAAGAAGCATTGTCATGCTGGGACCAAAGCAGCAGTAATGCTACCTCAAATTCCCTTCTAGGTGTTGGTTTTTTTCCCCCTCACAGAGCTCTGACTTCTGTTTTCCTTTAAATGCCTCAACTCAGGCATTTATAATACCTGCTAAAATACATGCTACTTATACTGTCAGAAAGACTCCATTTTTAGAGAAGGGGAAAAGAGCCTGTGAACAGACCTGATGTAAACTATGGCATCTGCTTGTTGTCACCCTTTTCCTTCTGATTCTCTAGAGATATTATTGTTATTCTTCAGCTTAAAAAAGAAAAGAACTTTCCTGGGTGCACAATTTAGGGGGACCTGGTTGTCCTTGGTGACAACTGCTTGACAGTACAGTTGGTGGTTTGAGTTCAGTATTCAATACTGGGGGTACCTTGCCTTCATCCACTGTTGAGAGCAATTGGGAAGGTACCCTCTGAGGGCATGGGACTTGGGAGAGAAACAGGATGGAAGTGGCAAGAAGCTGACTTGGTGGTCCTCTTGTCCTTGTGAGGTCCCGGCCCTCAACTCTGGATGCCTCCCGAACACACCTGGCTGTTCCACACTGTTCCACAGGCCTCTCAAACACAACGTTCACAAATAAATTCCTTAGCTCTATGTCCCCACACCAAACCCATCTCCCTTTTAGCTCCTCATCTCATTAAAGGGTACTAGATAGACTTCTAGGAGTCATCTAAGACTCTTCCTGTCTCTCTCAAGCAACACATCCGGTCTCACATGCAGCTTTGTCTACTTCCTAAATATCTCTTCAATCCATTCTCAGTGTAGACACACACACACACACACACACTACTGTCTTCTTTCAGGCCTACATCATCTCTCCCCCAAATTGCTACACACTTAATTGGTCTCCCTGCCTCCAGTCTTGTGTCCCCTCAATTTCCCACCTGCTACACAGAAGTCTCTAAGTGCCAGTCTTATCTCATCACCCTCTGGTCTCTTGCCCACCTGGTATCAGTATCCTCTCCACTAAAAAATTCACCTCTTTCCTATAGTGCACAGGGCCCTGGAATCTGGATCCCACCTCTCCAGCCTTTCATTCCTCTCCTCCATAGTCAACATCTTGCTCTTCCCAACTTCAGGAGAGCATCTTGGTCCTACAGTTCTTTGTACTTTGCACACCATCCTCTTTGCCTGGAATGTCCATCCCTGCCTGGCCAGCCTGAACAACTCTCCCTGCCCCTTCAAGTGTCTGTCAAAGTCTGACCTGCTCTTTTAAGGCTGTTCTTACCCATTTCAACCCCACTCTCAGTTACAGGCTCCTTCTGTGTTTCCCATGGCATTCTAAGGACATCTCCATTTTAAAAGCTAACTTATAATAATAAAGGTAATAGTAATAATAATAATGT